GCGATTGGCACAGGATAGAGCAGGGTTTAGGGCTGTTGTACATAGGGTCGCTGTGAGTCGCAAACGACTCGATGGCACGTAACAGCAACAACAACAACAACAACAGTGTTTTCTTGCTCTGTTCTGATGACTGCCTCCTGATCCAAGTACAGGTTTTGCATTAGCATGATCAAGTATTCTGGGATTCCTTTTCTTTTCAGAGTCATCACATTTTGTTGTGATCCACACAAGCGTCTTTACATTATCAATGAAACACAGACATTCCTCTGGTATTCAATCCTGCTTTCAGCCATGATCCATCTTACATTAGCTACAATATCCCTAGTACCACGACCCTTTCTAAACCCAGCCTGTTCTTCTGGCAATTCTCTGCTGATGTTCTGTACCAGTCGTTTTTGGATAATCTTCAGTAGACTCTTGCTTGCATGTGATATCAATGATATTGTTCTATAATTTCCACACTCTGTTGGTCACCTTTCTTTTATAACTGAGTAAGCTGGAATTTAATTTTAAATGAGAATAAAAAGGAAATCAGAGTAACTAGTATGAATAAGGAGAGTGATCCCATTATTTTATCTTTGTGCTATTGAGAATGGTTCCTGGCTTTTATTTATATATATAAAATGTATTTATCTCTATCTTAACTCCACTCATATCTTCATTTCTTTCATTCCTATTGAGGATAGAGAACAGTTAGGTTAAAGGTAGATTAGCTCTTATATGACTCTTTATAACATACTGGCTAAAAATCTTATCTGAGAGGTTACAAGATCAACTTACAAAAATAAGATGGATTCCTCTACATCCATAACAGTAATATCAATAAACTCTGAAAAGGAAATTGGGGAAAATGGTAGCATGTACAATAGCCCCTCAAAAGATAAGCAAAGAATACTATAAAATAATATTGCAAGAATCCAGACATAAATAGAAAAGCATTCCAAGCTTATGGATAGGAAGACTTAATGTTGTGAAACTATCAGTCCTACCCAAAGTAATATGCATATATAATGCAATCCCAGTCCAGCTTCCAAGATTTTTGAGCAACATGTTGTTGTTGTTGTTATGTGCCATCAAGTCGCTTGCCACTCATAGCGACCCTATGTATAAGAGCTCTAAATGCTGTTCTATCCTGTGCCAACCTAGCCATCTCAAACGCACTTATTCCCACCGTTCCAGTCACAGAATCGATCCATCTCACCAAAGGTCTTCCTCTCCTTCGCTTCCCCTCCACTCTACCAAACATGATGTCCCTTTCCAAGGATCAGTCCCTCCTTGCAACATGCCCAAAATA